TGAAATTGTTCATGCAATGAACAGGAAAACCAATAATTATTTACGAGTTAAAGGTTTCGCCGCAATTTATGATAAAATGGTTCAAGATGGAAATTTGCAGCCACAAAGTTTGCTTTATTTAGGAACTATGTACAGGATGACAAAGCGTAAAATAAAAGATGACTCCGACGACATCAAACAAGAATTAGATGATCTCATCAACAAACTTCCTGCTTGTATAAGAAATGCAGCTTTAATGCAACAGGTGTGCATAAAAAATGTAGTATCAGGAAATTATCTTAAGATATCTGACCAGAATAAAGAAAGCAAATGGAAACTCGTTGTTTCGCCAAATGAGACTTCATACAACCGAACTAAGTGGAGATTTGATGCCATGCAATACGGTAATTATAGCAGAGTAAAAAATTTATTTTTAAATATCAATATTGAGGATATCCTCAATCCCGATTATTATAAGTTGGGATTCAGTCAGGATGCCTGGACTATTTATTCTACTGACGACAGTTGTTTTCTTAAGAGATATAGATCTAGTCATGATTATTTGAAAGACTATGAAGGAAATGCTATTGTCTCTGAAGGTGAAGATGAAACTGCTAAATGGCATATTGAAAGTTGTTAGTGTACATATAATTGAATCATAATGTATTAAAATATCATATGAATATTTTATGTGAAAGATTATATTTATAGTAACATTTAAAATTTACATTGCTTCTTTAGATATCGATTACATTACGCAAAATAATAAAATAATAAAATAATAGATGCATTTTTAACTTCCCGTAGGGTAGTTATAAAAATGGGCCGAAAATTGAAAATGAAAATTTTTGCATTTCGTTTTGAAGATTTCTGAGCATTTTGGCATATCTCAGTAAAAATGGATGTGTGTGTGTGTTTCGTATGTCCGCATTTTTTCGTTCACGTTTTCGGGCGCACGGATCAACCGATTTCAATGGTTCAAAAAACATTCGATTCCTATTGATAGCGAGATGTTCTGATTAGTTTTTGGCAAAGGCAGGTCCAGCAGTTACGGAGATAAAGAGCAGAGAGTGCAGAAAATAAAAATCGAGTTTTTGAAAGAACGGATCATCCGATTTGTATGATTCAAAAAACATTCAGTTCGTAATGACGGGGAAAAGTGGTTATTAGTTTTTGGCAAAGGCAGGCCCAGCGGTGATACAGAGCTAATTGTGCAAAAAATGGCAGTTTTTGAGAGAACCAAGCGTCCGATTTGAATGATTCAAAGAACTTTCTGCTTGTTTCAACAAAATAATTGCTTTTGGAAAAAAATTTTTTGTTTCTAATTTTTTTTTCAAAAATATTTTTGTAATTTTAAAAATTAAAAATTCAAAAAATTACCCGGGCTAAGCATAGTCTAAGCGTCCCTCAGATGCAAATGTTTACCCAAGTGGGTTTAGACTGTTTATGTACTGCAGCAATTTTCCAATTTTGTAAAAACTATTGAAAAATGTGAATATGCCACCAAGCTGAGCGCAGTATAATTGACAGTGTCGCACAGAATTATTTGCAAATGCGTTTAGACTGTGACTATACGGGAGTACTTTTTCAATTTTGTGTAAATGGCAACTATTTTTTGAAATTGAATTCGAAATGAAATGACAATTGTTAATGTTATTATGATTTACATTTTATTTGCTCAGATATAACAAGATATCAAAAATAATGAAAGTTTCAGTATTTGTAATAATATATTTGAAAACGTTTAAAATTTCTCGAATATTTTATTACGGTACGGGAAGTTCCAGCAATTTGCCTCAAGGCACGATGCTATACACCACTAGTTACTTAATTTCTTATACCGCAATATGAAATATTTAGCAAATGATAGATCTATTCTAATAGAAATGCAAAATATTTTCTTCAGTTTATAGTTGAATTTCTACATCAAGTAAGTGGTAACTTCAGAGAATAATTGGTCTTGCCAATATTGATGTTGCCAATTCGTCCTTGTTCGTCCAATTCAGGTGCTTGTTCGTTTTTCAGTAAAGTTTAATAAAAAACTATAAATTGTTCAATCTGCTAAAGCTGTCAAAAACCGTAATTTAGAACCGCAAAAGACCCGGGTCCGGGAGAACGGTGGTCTGTTCCAACCCGGCCCGTTTTCCGCCCCCGGCGAATTTTTTTTTATTCCGTTACAAACATCTGTTTCAAGCGACCTGTTTCGTTTTTTGTTCTTGAATTTTTTGTAGCCCTTTGAGTTTTTTATTATAAATATAAATAACTTTCCGAAGGAAAAGTTTGTTTTCATCAAAAAATCCGATTCGCTAATTTTATGTTTTCACGACGTTTCAAGCAATTCTGAATCGAATGAGACCGAATTTCGAAAAAGTATGTGTGTGTATGTGTATATGAACAGATTTTTTATCGTAAATCAACGTTTTCTTAAAAACGGCTGGACCGATTTCAGAAATTTAAAAGCCATTTGATGCATCTCAATGCGGACTATGGTTTATCTGTATTTTTTTTTTGTTTCTTTGTAATTTGGAAAAAAGTATTACACTTTTCATCTACATTTAAGCCCATACTACCGTATCGATTTTGAAAAATCAAAAACTGTTCGAAAGATATTAATTGGAAATGATACTGATTAGTTTTAGGTAAAGATCGATCCAGCCATTTTCTTGTTAACTCTTGAAAAAAAATTTAAGCCGAATTTTATGGCGCGATATATACCATGGTCTTATAGAACTTACTGAAATATTACGTTCTTACGACAAGTAGTTTAATTTTAAAAATTCATCAAAGTTTGAGAAAACTAGTAGTTTTTTGACATTTGTTAATTTTAATTAGAATTAGACGATATACTTGGCATAACGATACAGTACTTGATCTTAATGAACATACTAAACCATTAAAGTTATACGGAAACTGGTTCAATTATAAAAATTGTTGATTTGTGAGATTTTGCTTTTAGAAAATACTCCAGGTTAACGTGTTGGTTCGTTTTCAATTATTTGTAATAAATCTACTCGGAATACTTCTAATCACTCATAAATTAATTTGTTTATTACACAGGCCTACAAAAAATTTTTTTGTTTGGTGCATCAAATGTTAGAACTGATTCTTATAGTATTTTTTGCGCTGATTTCAAATCTGCAAACCATTTTGTTGTATCAGCTCTAGTTTTTGAGATACAAAAAAGTTGCCGAAACCAGGTCCATTCGAGGTCGTCACGGAAAAGAACTTTTCACAGTGTCAACTAATGTCCCAACTAAGGCCGAATGGGTCTTGTAAGTTTGTATGTACGAGTAGGCATATCTCATTAAAATAACATTCTGAATTGTATTACTATTTTGTACTTTCATTTCTTATATATCCATATATATCATATCTTGAAAACTAAAGCTCATAGAAAAAACCAATGTCATTTTTGAAATCCGCTCCCCAAATATACTTAAAAACAGCATTGAAATCGTTTGCACCATTTTCTTTGTTGGCCTGTGTTATTGATTAAGTCGATTATTTACACATATCGGGCAGTTCATGTAACTTGCCTCAAGGCTAAATACCAATACCAACTAGTTTATTGGTTATTCACAAGTCACAAAGTGCCACATATTTTATTTCTCTTTATTGAATTACAATGTGTCTTTACAGAAAGGAAGACATTCAGTAATTTCGATGATATATGAAATATTAAACCTTAGATCTAAAAGGTTACCCAGTAGTAAACCTTTTCAATTTTGATATATTGAATTTAAATATTGTGATTATATGAGTGAACTTAAAAATAAAATGATCTATGAGGTAAATGAGTATGAATTGAAGTGCCACATATGTCACTAGTTTCTTTATTTTTAAGTTTTTCATCTATATTTGACATATTCAATCCAATTAAATTTGCAAAAATATTTTATCATGACCTCAAGATAATGCGTACAGTATTATTATTCGTTATTATCTTATATTAATAAAAACAGCAAACTGTTTAATGTCTTCTGAGAACACAATCTGTAACATAGACAAAGAGCTAGTACTAAGTTTCATACTTTCACTTGAATTATAATTTTTATATTTAAATTCGATTAAAATACGTATGAAAATCACAAATTAAAAAAAAAGCAAATACGAAGAATGTATAACCAGCAATATTGTATTATAAGTAAATATTGATATTAGCTAGTTAAAGTTTAGAGTGGTTAATTTGTTTCGATCACCGGGCATTTTTTTTTAATTACGATATTTATTACAACTGTTAAATAATTAACATCTAGCAATATTGATAAATAATAACATAAATTTAAATAAATAAGAATGCAAAGGATACAATTTACATGAAAATAATATCCGTAATATGATGATTTAATATAAAATAAAAGTAAATAATAATAAAAATAAAATTAATAAATAATATAAATAAAATTTCTGAATAATAAAATAATACTAGAAAAACAATAAATCACCGGGCATATTACTCTTTTGGTTTATTTCAGAAAAATTTTACGAAGAAACCCTTAGCTCGAAAATAAATTTCGAACGAGTGAAATGTTTAATATAACTTTCATTAGGTCGAGGCATTGTATTAAAAAAGCAAATAATAATATATTTTTTTACTAGCCAAAAATTGATCTTCTGGAATTAGTTTATCATCAATGTAAGGTTCCATTTTACGAAATAGGATTTTCTAATAAAAAAAAGATATTGTTGGTAGCAAACTAATGGGTCTACAGGTACTAGGACTTCTTTTGGATCTTTACATGGTTTTCGAATCATGATGGTTTTAGCAATTTTCTATAGATTAGGGTAGGATTGAAACCTAATTATACCATTAAATAATAAAGTCAAGAATCGGATAGACTTCGAATTCGAAATATTTTTTTATTTTTCTAAAAATGTATTAGCTCTCCATTTATCATTAATCACAACATTCTGAATACTGAATTAGCATGTTTACTCCTTATCAAAGTGTATGTGTATTTAGTTCGAATGCGAATTTAATAAGTGAACAACAAGTTTGTTTTTAAACACAGTTGTTAAAAATGAAGAAGTTAATATATTATATTTTAATATTTTGGAATATTAGTTTGATATTTGGCCAAAATTTTGAGCCTCCGACAGAAAAAAACAATATTGACGATGATGCTGAATTTGGTATTAGTCAGGCAGATATAAATTCAGCGACTCAAGACGATATTGAAAAACTATTCAAGCGATTGGACTTTTTGGAAAAGCACGATAAACAAAAATATGAAGCTTTGGTGAAACTTATGCGTAAAACCGAGAATGATTTGATTGGTTTGAATCGAGATTTGACAGCTTCGCAATGTGGTCAATTATTGCTGAAAAATGATTTCACAAGAGCATCTAATATGCTCAAAAGAGTTTATACGTATAATTATGACGAAGTGGTATATTTTGCATATGCCCAGAACATATCTAACTTCAACAAAATCATAGATTTTGCTAAAATGCTTCATAATGAAAAACAAGCATTGATTTTATATCAGGAGTTATTCAAATTAGCAAAAAGTGATGCAAGTATAGATGATTTGGTGAACATGGTGGAGAATATCAATAGGCATTATGCGTTACTTAATAATTGGTCAGAGTTCAGAAAACAAGTTTTGGATTTGTTGTTATCAAAGGTGAGTGCAGAAGTTAGAAACAGTTCTAAATTATTTGATAGCTGAATTATCTGAATTATTTCTAATTTTCGAATGAACCAGGTTGTCCACTTCGATCAAGAACATGCATATAGTCTTATCATAGATGTTGTGAAAAAACTTTATTATAGACTTGATCTCAACAGTTTGATTAAATTCGTTCATGGACATACCAATAAACATTTACGTATTAAAGGTTACGCCGCAATTTATGATAAAATGGTTCAAGATGGAAATTTGCAATCACAAAGTCTGTTTTATTTAGCAACTATGTACAGGATGACAAAGGACGATATAATTGATGACTCCGTCAACATCAAGCGAAAACTAAATGGTCTCATCAATAAACTTCCTGAATGTATCAAAAATGCAGCTTTAATGCAGCAGGTGTGCATAAAAAATGTAGATTCAGGAAATTATCTCAAGGTATCCGATCAGAATAAAGAAAGTAAATGGGAACTCGTAATATCACATGGCGAGACTTCATACCGCCGAACTAAGTGGAGATTTGATGTCATGCAAGACGGTTCATATGCTACAATAAAAAATTTATTTCTGAATATCAATATTGAAGATATTGGAATAAAATCGTTTTGGTTAGTCGTTTTAAGACTCACTTACCATGCCTGGACTATCCATTCTGTTGGCGACCATTGTTTTATAAAGTTATATGGAAATGATGATTATTTCTTTTTGGCAGATTATGAAGGTAGACCTTCAATTACAGTAGTATACTCTACATGGGATATTGAAAGTTGCTAGTGCACATATAATTTATACATAATATATTTGAAAGATAAAATAAATTTATTTGCTTTTTTATATCGATTATATTACACATGATAATAAAATATTAATATATTGTTAACTAATGCTATTTATAAAATTAATGCATTCTTAACGAATTGAACCACAATTCGAAATATTTTAGTAAATAATAGATTAAGATTATTTTAAGTTGTGGTAAAATATTTTTTTCAGTTCATAGTAAAATGCCTACGTCTATGTAGGCATAAAGTATAAGACGAATTTATATTTTGCAATAAAAATATAAAAAGATGCGGTGAATGAATGATGTCAACCATGAGAAAATATAAAATAAACTAGCTGCAAGTGAAATTCTGCCTTAAGGCAATTAAGGCATCGTGCCTTAAGGCAAATTGCTGGTACTTCCCGTACCAAAAATTATTTTTTTAAAAACGATTAACATTTTTGAAAAAATTTTACATCGAAAAAATAAGATTTTTGAGAAACTATAAATTGGACAAAAAATTACTTTCCTTTGAAAAAAAAATTTTGAAAAATGTTTTCTTTATTTTGACATATTTTGGAAGATCTGAACTTTCTTTCAAAGCAATCGTACTGCTTTAACTGCATAGAGACAAAATATAAAGCGCGTAAGCGCCGCGTCGCTGTCTACCGGATAAACATTGGTACGGAACCCATACGAATGTAAACAAAATTTATACTTATTGTTAAAATCTCTATAAAGTATCTGATAATTTGATGTACATATGTCTAATGATCATTTTTGACCGCCAAATGGCATTTTTTTTACTTTTTGTTAGATCTCCGAAACCGCTAGAATTGCCCTCATGAAAATTTGATAATTTTTTCATCTTGTCAATACAAGTGAAATGTTTTTTGAATTATTCAAATCGGACGCTCCGTTCTCTTAAAAACTGAGTTACCGTTTTCGGCACTTTTTGCCCCGTATCTTCGGAACGGCTAGACCTGCCTTCGCCAAAACTAATCAGCACGTCTCCTTATCAATACGAATCGAATGCTTTTTGAATTATTTAAATCGGTTGATCCGTGTTCCCGAAATCGTCGACGAAAATTTGTATCCGAACACACACACATACACGCGCACACACATGAAGTTCTTCAAACTTCAAACTTCAAACAGATTCAAATTGCTTCATCCGTGTTCCCGAAATCGTCGACGAAAATTTGTATCCGCATACACATACATACTACGCACACACACACACACACACACATACATCCATTTTTTCTAAGGTATGCCAAAATATTCAGAAACCTCTGAAACGTAAAGATACATAAAAATTTTCATTTTCGATTTTTTTGCGATTACTATAACTTACCCTACGGGAAGTTAAAAAAGCAATTGATTCCTATTGATAGGCAGATGTGCTAATTAGCTTTTGGCAAAGGCAGATCCAGGCGTTTTGGAAATACGAAGCAAAGAATGCAGAAAATAGAAATCGAGTATTTAGGAGAAAAGAGCATCCGATTTGTATGATTCAATAAACATTCAAACCATTCGTAATGATTGGGAGAAGTATTGATTAATAATTCAGATTTTAATTTTAATTCTGGCTAAAGTTCACTTATATACTTCAAATTAATAATTTCAACTTTGCAATTCAGTTTATATAATTCTTATAAATATTAGACAATGTCTTTTATTTTAAATTCGATTGATTAAGTAATTCACTTTTCTTTAAACTTATATAAGTTCCAGTATTTATAATAAACCATTTGAAAACATTTAATATTCCTCGAATTTTTATTTTGTTACGGGAAGTTTCAGCAATTTGTCTTAAGGTACGATGCCATACAAAACTAGTTTCAATATTAGTCAACTAGTTATTAGTATGGACTATGAAGCATTCTGACTAAATTAAAATTAGCGAGAATTTTGTGTCATGACCTCAAGATAAATGTGTACAGTATTATTATTCGTTATTATCTTGTATTAATAAAAATAACAAAATGTTTAATGTCTTCTGAGAACACAATCTGTAATATAGAAAGAGAGCTAGTAGTATACAACTAATAAACACTTTTTCTTGAATTTCAATTTTTGTATTTAATTTCGATTAAAAAATGTATTAAAATTACAGATTAAAAAAAAAGCAAATACAAAGTTTAACAGGTATTGATGTAGCTTATGGGTCCAATTTTTCGATCATTGGGCACATTACTATTTTAGTTTATTTCAAAAAAAAGGCGAAGAAACCTTTGCTTCAGAATAAATTTCGAACGAGTGACATTTTTAATATAACTTTCATTAAGTCGAGGCATTGTATTAAAAAAGCAAAAAATAATATATTTTTGTACTAGCCAAAAATAGATCTTCTGGAATTAGTTTATCATCAATGGTTCCATTTTACGAAATAGGATTTTCTAAAAAAAAAAATGATAATGTTAGATGCAAACTAATGGTACTAAGACTTCTTTTGGATCTGTACATGGTTTTGGAATCATGATGATTTTTGCAATTTTGTATTGATTAGAGTAGGGTTGAAACCTAATTATGCCATTAAATAATATAGTCAAGATTCGGATAGACTTCGAATTCGAGATATTTTTTCATTCTTCTAAATGTGTACTAGCTCTCTAGTTATTATTAATCACAACATTCTGAATTCTGAATTAACATGTTTACTCCTTATCAAAGTGCATGTATATTTAGTTCGAATGAGAATTCAATAAGTGAACAGCAAGTTTGCTTTTAAACACAATTGTTAAAAATGAAGAAAATAATATATTATATTTTAATATTTTGGAATATTAGTTTGATATTTGGCCAAAATTTTGAGCCTCCGACAGAAAAAAACAATATTGACGACGATGTTGAATTTGGTATTAGTCAGGCAGATATAAATTCAGCGACTCAAGACGATATTGAAAAACTATTCAAGCGATTGGATTTTTTGGAAAAGCATGATAAAAAGAAATATGATGCTTTGGTAAAACAAATTGGTAGTACCAAAAATCAATTGATTAGCATGAATCGAATATTTGTGGCGGTGCAATGTGGTCAGTTATTGCTCCAAACCGATTTCTCAAGAGCATCTGAAATGCTTAAAAAGGTTTATACGGATAATTATGACGAAGTAGTGTATTTTGCATATGCCACAAATGTAACTAACTTTAACAAAATCATAAATTTTGCTAACAAGCTTCATAATGAAAAACAAGCATTGATTTTATACCAGGAGTTATTCAAATTAGCAAAAATTGATGCAAGTATAGATGATTTAGTGAACATGGTTGTAAATATTAATAGGCATTATAGGTTACATAATAATTGGTCAGAGTTCAGAAAACAAGTTTTGGATTTGTTGTTATCAAAGGTGAGTGCAGAAGTTAGAAGCAATTCTAAATTGTTTGATAGCAAACATTCTAATTCTAGAATGAACACAGTTGTCCACTTAGATCAAGAAACTGCGTATAGTCTTATCATAGACGTTGCGAAAAAACTTTATTCTAAAACTAATCTCAACAGTTTGATTAAATTTGTTCATGAACATACCAATAAATATTTACGTGTTAAAGGTTACGCCGCAATTTATGATAAAATAGTCCAGGATGGAAATTTGCAGTCCCAAAGTTTGTTTTATTTAGGAACTATGTACAGGATGACAAAGGGCGATATAAAAGATGACTCCGACGGCATCAAACAAGAATTAGATGGACTCTTCAACAAACTTCCTGCTTGCATAAAAAATGCAGCTTTACTGTGGCAAGTGTGTATAAAAAATGTAGTATCAGGAAATTATCTCAAAGTATCTGATGAAAACAAAGAGAGCAAATGGCAAGTCTTAGTTTCACCAGGTGAGACTTCATACGATCGTGCTAAATGGAGATTTGAAGCCATGCAGAATGGTATATATGTCATGCTAAAAAATATATATTTGAACAGAAATATTAAGGAAGGCAATGAAGCCTGGATGGGTCATCGTTATTCCAAGAAAATTGAAATTAGCCTTCCGATGAATTCCGGAGATACCTGGTCCATTCATTCTACTGGTAGTAGTTGTTTTATAAAGATATATGGGCATGATAGTACATATTTGAGGGATTATGAGGGTAGTGTTATGATTTCTACAGTTGGAAATGAAAATGCTAAATGGGCTATTGAAAGTTGTTAGAGGACGGCAAGATATTGCAAATTTATAAAATAATTATTTAAACAGATTTGAGAACAGGATTTTATGAGTTTATACATACTCATGCACCCAACCGAGGGTCTACTGTGCCCAAATTTATCACTTATATTATATCTTTTTGTGAAAACATATTTGTGATGTAGTTAAAAATATATTTCAAACGTGTATATTTTGTTCAGAATTATTTTATCTAAATTAATCAGGTTTATTTTCTCTATATTCTATATTTATACAAATGTTATCTAGAATTAAATCAAGGGGTAAATTTACGTGCTAAAGTTGGTGGCGCCTCTATGGAGCGGGGAAACAATTAAAATTGAAGTTAACACACTTTAAATTGTTTTACACATAATAAAATTGTAAGCGAATACGAAATAATTTAATCTATTTTTATTTTAATATGTATCTAATAGTGCTAAATAATCTAACATCTAGTAACACAAGTGAATAGTAACATAAATATAAATAAAATAGAATACAAAATAAACACAAATTATGATTATTTAATATAAAATGAAAGCAAATAATAAAAATAAAATTAATAAATAAAATTTGTGAATAATAAAAATAATACTACAAAAACAATAAAGTGGAATAAAAAGTGTTCTTGCTTTTGCAATTATGTTTGAAATGATTTATATTTATGCTTCAGAAAAAACATTTTTAAATTTGTTTTGAACAAATTACCAACTTCGTGGGTGGTAAACTTAGAACAAATGTGCTTTGCCCTGTATTAGTGTTTTTTGCACTCAACAGAGGGTCAATTATGCTCAAATTTATAACTTTTTTTTAAAGAACTGATTATTAAATTATAAAAATCAGTTATAACGTACTCTGATC